TTTGCGAATGCCTTACTTTAGCGAGAACAACAAATTTATCTTGGATTATTTGGCCAAGAACACTTGCAAGAAAACCAGAAACCATTTGATTGTAGGCAAATAGGCTTCGGAAATCCTTGAATTGATCCTTAGTGTAGAAGCTGGTCTCGAGCACAAGATATGACAAAATATCACAAGCTTCGACAGGAGGAAGGCATTCCGAAGTATATTTCTACACCGGATCGAGCAAATGATCCATGCCGATCACTGAGATCTTTTCGACATACCTTTTCTTACTACTGCCTTCCAGTGAACTGGCATAAGCGGAAAATACAAGCTTGGAATCCACAATCGCTTTTTCCGAAGACGCATATTTTCCTAATTCACTGACCGCCATCTCAAGAATCACTCCTCCAACATGGCGGCGCCTCGTTTTCGAACATTTCTATGACGTCACGCGAACAGACTCTATTGGCTCTCGGCTTCTTCGACCAGTATGCGAATGAAAATTTACTTAGCGCCTTTTCAGTGCGTATATCTCAGTATGTATAAACAAAGCCTTAAAGGAGACGTGACCAAAAATAAAATCCGATACACTGAAAAGCTCGTTTCTTAGAGACGTGACCAAAAATAAAATCCGATACACTGAAAAGCTCGTTTCTTAAAACGTCAATCCTAAAAGAACAGAAATAAACAAAGTTTGGATTGTCAGCGAGGTCATTTTGTTCGCATTCCGTCCGTACTTTTGCCCCCTTCTACGATGTAATACCGCGGTGTATTTTGCGCGTTTTGTCGCCTTAACTCAATGGAATGTATTAATCTTTTGCCTAAATCATTTCATCACAAAAATAAATTATAATCGCAAAAAGCTAGTTTCCTTACCTGGATTCTTAGTCGGTTTCCATGGGTCATTAGGTCTTTGTACCCTGTCTGCCCTTGCTTGCGAAGGGGTTATCTTGTAGACTGCATAACGCGCAATTCCCCAATTATTATTATAGAAAGTGGCGTAGTGGTTGTTTTGGCAGATGGAAAAAGTGACACCTTGCTGTTCTGAAAAGGCTGGTTTAAGACCACCAAGTGAGAAACTTCCAAGACTGCACACTACGCGTCGTACTGGTTGTTCACCTAGGTGTTTCGGCTGCTCTTTATAATCTTTGACAAAAGAGAAAGTTTTCTTTGTATTTATACAACCACGAGTTTCTCAATATTTTATTCTATATTTTGTTATATTATGCTATACTTTCTTATCCTTTGTAGAGCTTCTTCACAAGAAGATGACGACTATACTTCCTTAAGGGTCCGTGTAATATCCCTCTATCCGATTCTCATTCTAGAGCAATGATAAAACTTAATATTTCATTCTTTGATAAATCATTTTTTTATTTATTTTGCTGCATAAGATTGGACCTCGAGTGGTATCTGTCTTTCTGCAAACCACTCATCACAGCAATGAAATCTAGGATCAATTTCAATTTTCATGATAGTTCTACAAGGATTGAGTTTTCGCATACGAATGCAAGTAAGGGACAGGTCATTTATTGCCTGAGGAGGGTAGGGGAAGGGGAACGTCAGAGGATTTTGGCTCTGTCACAACAAAATCCATCTGATCCCCCCATAGGCTTTGTAGTATTCTATTGATTCCCCTCTTCACATTGGCCGTCAATTTTCTACTGTTTTCCCTTTATATTCCGTTAACAACAATCACTCGACGATTCCCCTCCGTTCCCCATGAAACCATATCGCGGACCCCCCTAAAATATTTTGACCCCCTTTCCCCCCACCCAAGGAAAAAATACTTCCACTAGCTCCCTCACGCGACCAATAATGGCTGTCCGTAATGCAAAATTAATGCTGTATTCTTCCGGTTAGAAAAAATTGAAAGTCTGACCAACGATTCTTAGCAATGTTATGTTTCATTTGAATTACCTGTTTCAGTTGCTTTCTCGGCTCCACTAGCACTTATGCTATGAACACTGCCGAGGGTAAATAAAGGTATTTAATTTTATTTATTTTAACGTTCAATCGACCATGACGACCAAAATTGAATACTGACTGTCAATTTAGACTGAGAGAGAGCCTCTTTTCCTTTTCATTTTTCTCAGGACTAATCGATGGCGTAAGGCATCTTTGAAGACTATCGTATGCAGCTTTCCTCTGCGTAGTGAACTTTTGCCTTACTTCGATTATGCCATCTGATCTTCGACAGAAAAAAAAAAAAGAAAAGGAAAGAATATTCGAAACAAAAGCCAATTATTAATTTGGCTTAAGATTGCCAATCGAGCGTGCATCAAAGACGCCAAAGATTTTCAGTTTCTTTTCTTATCTGGAAAATGCAACGTTTGCTTTCAATTACTAAAATTCTTGGAGAAATAACTCAGTCCGTGAAAATTGAAGTGCATTGTAAGTTCTTTCATTCTACTGTAAATTGTTTTCAGCAGGTGACAGATACCGTGAAACAAAGTTTTGATGTTTACTAGAAATGCGTGGTTACGAAAGTTGTAGATCAAAAATCAAAATGTGAAGTTTTACCTTTTCATCTAGAATCGGAATCGAATAAACGATGACACAGAGTCTAACATTTGCACAGGCTTGCACTGTGTTTGAATTAAATATAGATGTAACTGCTGCCCTTTAATGTAGGTCTACTACAAAACCACAGCGTTTGAAAGTGAAAAAAAAATTTTCGCCGGAAAGTAATTTTTGCACCTCTGCCCGTGTTTGAGTTATATCCTCAGAGCGCTTCTTTGGGAGCGACGCTCCTTGCAATAAATACCGTGGAATTAGAGATGATGGCCACAATTTTTTACCTTTTCCTGGGGTTTCCGTCAGATTCGTTTCAGCACAAGTAAGACTTTCTAGCTTAACTGCTATAAGCAACGCCATGGGGAAAGCGAAACCAAGAAAAATCATCTTCAAAGTATCACAAAAGAGTATAACTGGTTAAGTTTAACCGCTCAGCTGTTGCGATGTCTCTACTAGGTTACGCACTTCTCAACTTAAGAGAGTTTTATCATAGGAGTTCTGAACTGTAACCCAATCTATTTCGTCACAGGTACCATAAAGGAATTCAAAGCATCTTGATGGATCGCATGGTTCACTGACTTTCTCTAAGTGTTTCTTGATATCCGATGTTGTCATGGTATAAAAATTTCTTACAAGCTGAAAGGACTACTTGGAACAAAGGATGTGCCCTCAGGCAATAGAGAAGAGCTTTTAAGGTATCTCATTACACTTAGTCTAATTGAATAACCAGTTGACTTCGATTCTGGTGCTGTTAACCTTCGCAATTTTTTGCCTTAATAAACCTGTTGGTTGATAAATAGCTTTTGCGGAAATTGTTGTAAAACACTTTTAAGCTTTTTCTTTAATCTTCAACTGAGTCAGCAGTCAACGTATCTCCCTCAAACTCTGAAAAATGATTGGCCCTACGAATTCAATTTGTAAACAACCATCGAAAAGAAATTTTCGACATACTTACGGTACTTGATTTTACCATTAATGGTTATCTGTGACAAACAAGATTGCGCCAATGGCGGTTATAAAACTATAAAACCTCATTTGGACCTTTTGTGGCTTTTAATCGGGTTGAAAAGTGGGATGGCATTGTTCCTTGGTAGATGTTTCTGATCAATTCGATACAATTTAAGAAACTTTTTACAGTGGAATCTCTTTCAGATAGAGGCCAATCTATGAGACTCTCAGATAAAAAATAATTTTGCTCAAAGTCCTTTCTAACACCCCCAGAACACAGACTCTGTCATTTAGATCTTGTGCTTCAGGGATTGACAAGCATCCCATGTTATCAAAGGACGAAATATGAGTTGCAGGCGCAAGCTAAAATTGAACACTGACTGTCGATTTAAAAGACAGAGCCTCTTTTCCTCTTCATTCTTCTTAGGAATAACCAATGGCGTAAAGCTTCTTTGAAGACTATATAGGCAAAGAATAATGGAAATTTAAGTCTTAAAAGCGACGGAATTAGCTCTGGAAAATGAAAAACAGAACTTGTTGACTTCAAGTGAAGCTTTGCAACATTTAGGCTATTGTTTGGACCGGTAAAATTATTTTAAGTGTTGATATCTTCTAAAGGTATTGTTCAATCAAAGATTTCGTCCTTAAATTATTAAATTTTCAGAATTTTAATTTCAACTCAACGCTACGCGATTTTATGGCTGTGAAGTCATGTAAACAACAATGGTGATTATATCGCCTGGGTCTCGCAAATGCAAGAAATTCGCTCGTTTTTTGCTTCTAAACAATCTCGTGTATTTTAACACTTTTTTGAATAAAGAGATATTTCTTGGTCATTTTGCCTTGCATGTTATTAATACCACTTCGTTAAGAGAGGTTATTATACAGTTTGTATTCTTATGAGTTTATATTCTCTTGCTTTGCCGGTAGCATCTGATTATCTGATAACCCCATCAAATAAGCATATCGAGCTTCAACGATTTGTATCTTAAAATGTTTATTTCTCAGGAGAACCATAGAAGTTAAGCTATAAGTTGATTTCCATTGAAAATCAGGCAAGGAAAAGAAAAATAGGCGGTATTGTATATCACAACTGTGATGGAAGGTGAACATGCTATCAACGGCAAAACGTTTAATTTGCCGCGTAATATAAATAAGGGATTTTCTTCAAATTTACACACAGGACAACTTCGGTTATCAATCAATCAATCAACAACTTTATTTAAGTGTCAAAATTCTTCTTGTTAGCCACAAGTAGCTGACTAATCGGGGACACTATAACAAATTGGTGAAAACAAACTAGGGCACATCTAGCGATTGGGAAAATAATTGTGAGAATTTTAAAAATACTGCGAATATCTGTATGATCTATGTATTGTATATGATGTTTACTACAATATACTCCAGCTTGTTCTCCTCGGCTCATCATAAAATGGAAGAAGGTTACAAACATAGACTATTTTAACATTTGTGAAGCTTTTCGAGACTTTACAACAGAAAGGATCCCGGTCGCGTGAAACGGAATGGAACGGAAAGTGTAACAACTTATTACGGACCTCAGCCCAAAATGAAAAGGTGTTCGTTAAAATTTTGTGCCTTTCGGGAAGTCTACGGTCATTTTCACATACCCCCCCCAGATGAAAGATCTCCCCGGCCCACCAAGTTTTTGCAACTTCAATCCCAGAGTTCACTCCGGTATTAGTAAAGTCGCCTATTAATTGGCTCTTGGCTTCTTCGACCAGTATGCGAATGAAAATTTCATTTGCGCCTTTTCAGTGCGTATATCTCAGTATGCATAAACGAAGCCTTAAAGGAGACGTGACCAAAAACAAAATCCGATACATTGAAAAGCTCGTTTCTCAAAGCTTCAATCCTAAAAGAACAAAAATAAACAAAGTTTGGATTGTCAGCGAGGTCATTTTGTTCGCCTTCTCCGTACTTTTGCGCCCTTCTACGATATAATGCCGTTGTGTATTTTGCGCGTTTTGTCGCCTTAATATCAATGGAATGTATTAATCTTTTGCCTAAATTTTTTCATCACAAAAATAAATTGTAATCGCAAAAAGCTAGTTTCCTTACCTGGATTCTCAGTCGGTTTCCATGGGTCATTAGGTCTTTTCACCCTGGCTGCCGTTGCTTGCGAGGCAGTAATCTTTTATACTGCATAACGCGCAATTCCCCAATCATTATCATAGAAAGTGGCGTAGTGGTTGTTTTGGCAGATAGAAAAAGTGATACCTTGCTTATCTGGAAAGGTTGGTTTATGACCACCAAGCGAGAAATCTTCAAGACTGCACACTACGCGTCGTACTGGTTGTTCACTTAGGTGTTTCGCCTGTTCTTTATAATCTTTGACAAAAGAGAAAGTTTTCTTTGTATTTATACAACCACGAGTTTCTCAATATTTTATTCTATATTTTGTTATATTATGCTATACTTTCTTATCCTTTATAGAGCTTCTTCACAAAAAGAAGATGACGACTATACTTCCTTAAGGGTCCGTGTAATATCCCTCTATCCGATTCTCATTCTAGAGCAATGATAAAACTTAATATTTCATTCTTTGATAAATCATTTTTTTATTTATTTTGCTGCATAAGATTGGACCTCGAGTGGTATCTGTCTTTCTGCAAACCACTCATCACAGCAATGAAATCTAGGATCAATTTCAATTTTCATGATAGTTCTACAAGGATTGAGTTTTCGCATACGAATGCAAGTAAGGGACAGGTCATTTATTGCCTGAGGAGGGTAGGGGAAGGGGAACGTCAGAGGATTTTGGCTCTGTCACAACAAAATCCATCTGATCCCCCCATAGGCTTTGTAGTATTCTATTGATTCCCCTCTTCACATTGGCCGTCAATTTTCTACTGTTTTCCCTTTATATTCCGTTAACAACAATCACTCGACGATTCCCCTCCGTTCCCCATGAAACCATATCGCGGACCCCCCTAAAATATTTTGACCCCCTTTCCCCCCACCCAAGGAAAAAATACTTCCACTAGCTCCCTCACGCGACCAATAATGGCTGTCCGTAATGCAAAATTAATGCTGTATTCTTCCGGTTAGAAAAAATTGAAAGTCTGACCAACGATTCTTAGCAATGTTATGTTTCATTTGAATTACCTGTTTCAGTTGCTTTCTCGGCTCCACTAGCACTTATGCTATGAACACTGCCGAGGGTAAATAAAGGTATTTAATTTTATTTATTTTAACGTTCAATCGACCATGACGACCAAAATTGAATACTGACTGTCAATTTAGACTGAGAGAGAGCCTCTTTTCCTTTTCATTTTTCTCAGGACTAATCGATGGCGTAAGGCATCTTTGAAGACTATCGTATGCAGCTTTCCTCTGCGTAGTGAACTTTTGCCTTACTTCGATTATGCCATCTGATCTTCGACAGAAAAAAAAAAAAGAAAAGGAAAGAATATTCGAAACAAAAGCCAATTATTAATTTGGCTTAAGATTGCCAATCGAGCGTGCATCAAAGACGCCAAAGATTTTCAGTTTCTTTTCTTATCTGGAAAATGCAACGTTTGCTTTCAATTACTAAAATTCTTGGAGAAATAACTCAGTCCGTGAAAATTGAAGTACATTACAATTTCTTTCATTCTCTATTGTAAATTGTTTTCAGCAGGTGACAGATACCGTCACTCAAAGTTTTGATGTTTACTTGAAATGCGTGGTTACGAAAGTTGTCGATCAAAAATCAAAATGTGAAGTTTTACCTTTTCATCTAGAATCGGAATCGAATAAACGATGACACAGAGTCTAGCATTTGCACAGGCTTGCACTGTGTTTGCAAAAATATAGATGTAACTGCTGCCCTTTAATGTAGGTCTACTACAAAACCACAGCGTTTGAAAGTGAAAAAAAATTTTCGCCGGAAAGTAATTTTTACACCTCTGCCCGTGTTTCAGTTATATCCTCAGAGCGCTTCTTTGGGTGCGACGCTCCTTCCAATAAATACCGTATGCGTGTGCAAAGGAATTAGAGATGATGGCCACACTTTTTTACCTTTTCCTGGGATTTCCGTCAGATTCGTTGCAGCCCAAGTAAGACTTTCTAGCTTAACTGCTATAAGCAACACCACGGGGAAAGCGAAACCAAGAAAATTCATCTTCAAAGTATCACAAAAGAGTATAACTGTTTAAGCCTAACCGCTCAGCTGTTGTGATGTCTCCCCTAGGTTACGCACTTCTCAACTTAAGAGAGTTTTGTCATAGGAGTTCTGAACAGACCCCCAATCTATTTCGTCGCAGGTACCATAAAGGAATTCAAAGCATCTTAATGGATCGCATGGTTCACTGACTTTCTCTAACTGTTTCTTGATATCCGATGTTGTCATGGTATTAAAAATTTCTTAAAAGCTGAAAGGACTACTTGGAACAAAGGATGTGCCCTCAGGCAATAGAGAAGAGCTTTTAAGGTATCTCATTACACTTAGTCTAATTGAATAACCAGTTGACTTCGATTCTGGTGCTGTTAACCTTCGCA